TGTGTGATTGTATTGTTGTTAGTAGTGTGTCAAACTCTAGAGAGTAAAGAAAAATGGAAAACATAGAGGACATAGAAAATGTACACAATAGATCCTTGTATCCTTGGCTAAAGCTAAAATCCTCAATAAAACTTCTGGGTATGCTTCTCTAAATATTCCTACCCTTCTTTACAACTCACCGAGTCACAAAAAGAGTGCCTATATATACCTTAAGTAACGGTTGTTATTTGGTTTTGTATTGCGAGGTTATGTAATCTCTACAAGGATTCATTTTTAATCTAATTCGTGTTTTAATCTAAATTAGGTCAGTGTATCTTGCAAATCACATGCATACCGTTAAATTTCCTTAGTGTTTGGGTATAAACCAATCTCTTACCAATATTTAATTTAGTTTTTGTAACAGTCTTAAGTTATAATAAAAATGTTTTGTGCGTACGCAAGTTCTTTCCCGTAAGTTCAATACTTACGCATACGAAAAGATAATTAATTTGCCGAGGTAAATAGGAGATCACCAGATCACCATAGGGTGTCTTAGTCGAAGTCTCACTAATTATAATATCTTGAGATATGTTCTTGTTAGAAAAAAATACAAAAAATAATAAGAAATAATGAACAAATAATTTGAATAGGTTTGACTTAATCACCAACAGTTGAGTTGTGTATCTGTGTGGACGAGCTTTGCTTATGCAATAAGAGAAAAGGAGGTCTACTTGCGAAAGAGACCTTAATACTTAATTCAATATAAGAATATAGAAAGATGTAAGAAAAAGAATATACATATATAATTAAATGGTTTAATTTATATTTTTACCAATGTTGTTTTAGATATTAAATGATACATTTATAACGTTAATAATTGCATCTTTAATGTGATACCAGATAGTTTGACATACGTTATTGCAATAATACTCATTAAAGAGGGTTAATTTGTATATTTATGTTAGGATAATAAATAAATATACAAGCCCCCACTGCGAGTCGAAGCTGTTGAGTTCATGATTTACCGAGTTTAAAATTGGGTTTGTTGAGGTTAGAATTTGTCATATAAATGAAGTTATTATCGTAGATGACAACCATGAATTCGAGTTTGTAAAAAAAAAAAAAAAAAAAAAAAAACATTTTCATTTTTTCAAGCATATTATTACTTTTGACCATAACTTAATGAAGGATTTTAGCAATGACGTTGCGTCGTCAATGACTTTAATCTCAAAAAACGTATCCGAGATTAGCTGAAAACTCCTAATTAGTCTCTTTTCGCGCCATTTAATCTAAAGGGTTTACTTTTTCAATTTCTCTTCTTCAAGTGTTCTATTTTTTATTTTATTTTTTAGATATGTTTTGATTCTCAAATCTTAAGGATGCCAATTAAATCGATCCGTCTCTATCCCGAGTTTAACGGGGAAAACTCGAGTTGACTTGGGACGGAGGCGGGTTCGAGTTTTCTCCGCTTTAAAAATTCGGGGCGGGGTAGGGATGAGTAATTTTAAAAATATTTCATTTTTTTCTATTACATATAAGATCATTTTTTTATATTTCACTAATTTTTATTTTTCTTTTACTCCCTTTTTAATTATTTTGTCTTTTTTAATCTTTTATATCAATTAATTTATTACATTTTTTTATCTCTTACCTTCCAATTTTTCACATTTCCTTAATTTCTCCCATCAATTTGGTTTTTTTTTTCAATCTTTTCAACCAGTTTGATGAACACAAAGTTTTTTTTCTTTATCTTTTTCTAAATATTTTACATAAATCTTAGTAGTAATTAATATTATTTTATTTATAATTTATATTTATTAGGTTTTATTATGTCATATTTTTTTATCTTATTATTCTTATTTATCATATATCAAATTTTATCTTAATAAAATAATTGTATTTTAAAGGATTAAAAGTAATTGATAATTTAAACTTTTATTACTTGAACTAATTAAATAAGAATTAACTTATTAAATATTTCCTTATAAATTATATATTTCATATTTTTAAATGACAACTTAAAAATGAATTAACTTATATATATAATCAAATGTTTGAATACAATATTATAATAATAATGTTATAAGTATTCAAATATTTGAATACAATGTTATAATAATAATAATGTTATAAATAAAAAATGATTAAATATTTCTTTTACATACATATTTTAATATAAATATAATAAATTAAAATGTATATTTAATTATTAATAATTATAAATTATAAAAATTTATTTATATATAAAAAATAGATAGTAAATTAATTTATTATAAATGTAATTATCTTTTTAAAAATAATATAAATCGAGAGACGGGGCGGAGGCGGGGAACCGAAACCAAGCGGGGACGGAGATGAGGACTTAATTTCTAACCTCGGCGGGGATTGGGGACGGAGGACGGGGATGATTAAAAAGTCGAGGCGGGGATCGTGGAGGCGGAACCTGCCCCCGCCTCGCCCCGTTGCCATGTCTATCAAATATGCTTTAATATTTTATTACGTCTTTTCAAGGCGGCTCAAGTATTTGGGAAGCCTAAAACAAATTTTAGTATTGAAAGATCTATCTACCATGACCACTAGATCTTTGTTTAGAAAATTGAGGAAACATGAGCATAAGATTAGGAATGACAAAATGGGACAGTATGTCCCGACTCTAACCCGCTGAAAATGGGGCGGGACAGGCTGACTCGCTTATAGTCAAGACGGCGCTGCGACCCTAGCTCGCCCTGTCAAAAGGCGAGGTTGGCCTGCCAACCCGCCAATATTTTTTTGTATAAAGATTTTTATATATATTTTTAAAAAATATATCTTTAATTATATGAATAATTTTTAAGTTTTTATTTATTAATTAATGTTTTTATTAGATAAATTAAAAAAAATATTATATTTATATATTAAAATAACTAATTATAATTAATAATTTAAATTTAATTAATTAATTTTTATAATTTAAATTATAATATTATAATATATTTAAATATCTCAATAATATAACAAAAAATATATATTATTTTTAATTATAACTATTTTTATTTTAATATATAAATATTTTTTAAAGTGGATCATTCTATCCCATCCTACCACTTTTTAGACAGGACCGTCTCACCTAACCTATTTTGTCATTCTACATTATATAAGTTGAATGAGCGATAAAATCTTGACAAAAAAGGGAAAAGTATTGCCTCAATAATTGACGTTAATAGCATTAACTTGTTAATCAAGAACGAAGTGACGTTAATAGCATTAACTTAGTTAATAAAAAATTTCAGCAAATTCCTCAAGAATAAGTATAGAAAAAACTAGTCAAACAAAGAGACAATCTTCTAAATTAAATTTAACCCCCATTAACTAGTTTTTTCGTCTAAATCGTTGAGTATCCATTAACTAAGTGAAAATACTTCAGATGATCTTTAAATCAAATTTTAACTTTTCTTAGTTTATCATTCTTACATTAATATACAAGTGTTCAGAAAAAGGTATAAATTAAACAACTATTTAATCAAAGCTTTATTTTACTATAATTTCCTAAAACTATATTAAGAATAAATAATTAAATATCAAAATAAAATAAATATATAAAAATATATAAGTAAAGCATAAATAATGCATTCGTCATTGCTTTTATAAATAAAAATAGAGCTCACAATGTATGTCACATAATGCATCATCATTAATCAATATGTTTTATTTATTTCCTAATGTAATAATTTCGATACCATTGTATGATTTTTGTTCATTACATGATAGTGACCACAAACTTCAAATCTTTATAAGGGTATGATTCAATTCAAATAGATTTATTTTTTTTAATTAAAATATTGTAAATTATCAGTTATTAACTTTCTTTGTATTATTTATAGGAATATGTGCAATATCTTAAACAGTAAATCTACTTCGGCTATATAATTTACGTTGAATTTATCCTAACATATTTACTTCTACATTAAACTATTTACAATCATACTTATTGATTTTTAAAAAAATTAACTATGTTAAAATCAATATATTAATACATTAAACATTAAACAATAAACAAGCTTTGTGGTTACTATTTCATGGACCAAATTTGGACTACATCTGGTGTGTCTATTATAATTTTTTAACACTAGGTAATATAATATATCTTAAATTCTTTTTCAAATAGTTTTTTTTTTTTTTTGGTTTTCAAATGTTCTATTATAATACAAAAATAACACCTATATAATGCTGGAACTTTTTTTGTCTATGAGGAACCACTAGACACATTTTTCATTGTGTCAAATGGACAAAATTTCTTTTGCACATTAGAAATTAGTAATAATTGTTATAATCAACGGTTGTTAAAATTTAGTTACAGCTGTGATATTAGTTATTAATTCTAGTTTACTAATTTAAGAGTTGATATTAGCTGAGAAAATATACATGTTGTCCAACTATTTGGTAAATTAAGCATTTGCAGGAGGTGAACAATGGTTGAAGCGTGGTGTAAAAAAGACTCGAAAGTTTTTAAGAAAAATTCATACAGTTGTATACTAATCTTGAAATTGTTATTTTATGTCATGTTTTTAAAATTAAAATATGATAAATAATAAAAAATATTATTAGCAATTTATGATTAGAAATTTGCATCGAAATCAATCATCGACATTTACTATCATAACATATATATGCAAGTGACAGGACTGTAAAATTGATGAACCGTACACCAATGATCTCTTATTCTAGAACACGGTTGGTTGCACGTCATCTTGCTATTTTAATACAACTTCTAGAATGGAAAACGCTTCGCTGTGAAATCTGTGTCTATCGTCACAATACAAGCAAAGACTTTTTCAAACATTAATTAATGAGTTGTCACTGATTAGTTTTCATCTCCACCTCTTTCGTTAGTTGACTCCTCCAACGTTACGTTTATGTGTATATATAGTTGCACCAGCCATTGTGCAAAACCCAACCCCAACCGACTGATAATTTTTCCTGGTTGAATTTCTTTGATCAGAAAAGGTCAAGGAAATCTAAGGGTTTGGTTGATAGGGAAGAATATGGTGAAGGAAGTGAGAGGCATCCAAAAGTACCGTGGAGAGGTTGCTCCTGCTCTCCTCATAACTCCACAAAAATCTTCCTATGGTTATCCAAAATTGGAGCCAATCATCGAAGAAGGCTCTGATGAGGGCTTCCAGATCATGCCCAAGAGGATGATGTTTCTTGTTCCTGCATTATTTTCTTTTGTCTCCTACTACTTCTTGATGTACAGCAAGATTAAATAGTACTTGTTTGAAAATAAAAAGGTTATATGGAACATGTTAATTATTAGTTATTTGCACACCCAGAGGATGTGTCATGTTTATTTTATACTCTTACAGATTAATCTGTGTTCGTCAACCCCCTACTTAATTTCTAGGCACCATCATTAATAACAATCGTCTGTTATTTCTTTTATCATAATCGGAAATTTTATCATATATTTGACATGCAAGTGTCCTACTAAAACTCACACCTTTTTTCTTGTACACTTTCACCACCACCAATTAATTCATAATTCTAATTATAAACACTGCATTTTCAGAAATGTCACCATTGTCAAACAATAATAACAATATTATTATTACCAGTAAAAAGTGTAAAAGGAGATGTCCTTGTTATCAACAATGCAGATTTTCATTTTATTATATATTTTTTTTAACATTAAGGAGTAATTGCAAAAATAAATTATGTAACTTAACTATTAAGTAACGTCGGTAAGTTAAAAGAAAATTATGAAACTTTAATGTATGAAAATTTACAATTTATAATTAAAATTTATATATTATTTTTTAAAAGATAATTTAAAAAAAAAAAAAAAAGAATAGTTTCGGAATAAAATTAGCTGCGAATTACGGATGAGCTTGTTAATTTTTAATGATAAACCTAACGAAGAATGTCATGAGCACCGTCCCGCTCCTTCCATGCCTAGTGTATACGAACAACGTAAGGATTGAAGTACAAGAATTCAAGGACACCGATGGTAGGTTCGGTACAATTTTTAAAACAGTGATATTATGTTGATAAATTTAAATATTAAAATCAAAATAAATATCAGGTATCATCCACGTTTGTACAATAGAAAATAACTAATTCAAACATAATGTTCCAAATAAAGTATAATTTCACAATTATTGTTTCATAGGCCTAATAATTTGAATAATTAATTTGTTCATTTTAATTTTTTTTATTGCTCCAATTATTATTGTAGGTGTGAAAATTGCTATGGTGATTGTTGTGATTGATATTGTTGTTCCAGTTATTATTGTTGGGGCAGTTGTTGTTACTAAAATATGTGTTTGTGCATTATGTGGTAGGAAAGGAAGATCGACGACACTCACAAGAATTTGTAATTAGTGACTTAATTTCTTTTACGAACATATGTTATCAATATTTTTATTAATATATTTAATATATATTTTTAACATAGTTTTGACAAATGTAATTAATTAATTATATATTTAAATTATTTTTTTACATTATATATTTTAACTAATTATTTATACATTGGTCAATAATAATAAATTAAAAAAGTAAAAAAAATATTTTGAAGATTTACTCAATATAATTGTATTTCGCTCAATGAATTACTCACAGAAAATTCATTCTTGATTTGCCAAATTACTTAGAGATATAATCTCGTAAGCGAAAAAAATTGAATTTTGACTAACTTTTGATATTTCACTCAATAAAGCAAGAAATCGCTCAGTAGGAAGTTACCTAACCCACTTCTGTAAAAATATCAAATCAAGTTCCAATTGATCTCTGTGCATTGAATAGATCTTACACTTTTTAATCATGTGTTTATTGTTGTATACAAAAGTTTAAAAAAGTTCAATAAGTTATCATCAAATTATCATTTATTTTAATAGTTTATAGATGTAGATTTCATATTCTCTCGAGCTTATAAAGTAAAGTTTCCTAAGTTCTTCTTTTACCTCTTTTTACAAATTCTACGTTGAAGTTCTTCAATTTAAGATATTTTAGATCATATTTATATTGTCTTCTTTTCTGTGTTGGTTGCATTTGCTTTCCGTAATTTACATTTCTTTTTCTTCTATTATTTAACTTTTCATTTCTGTACTTGTTTTTCTTTCATATTTATTGCAATTTGTGAATTTCTAAGTTTTTAAGGTAGATTTTCTAATTGAACTTTTGTTTTCTATGATTAAGATTTAATTTTTCATGATTATAATAATTTATAATCTATTACAATCAATGTAATTGAGATTGTTCAGTTGAATTTCTTTAGTTACATTATTAATCAATTTCTAGGTTTACGTTATTATTTCTCTTATAAGTTGAATTGTGTTTTTATTAAGAATTTCTCACCTTAATAAGGAGTACAAACATGGTATACATATAACCCCCTAAAACAGAAAGGAAAGAATCTTTTATAACTAAAAATAATATAGAAGGGAAAAATCAAAATTTGTTATAGAAAAACAATTATGCTAATATTCCCTCTCAAGTTGGACGGTAGATGTCACAAAAACTCAATTTGGATATAAAATTCTCAAAAGCTGTATAGTGAAGAGGTTTAGTAAAAGTATATACAAGTTGGTTGGAAGACGAAATAGAAAAAAGATGAATTAGACCTTGTTGAATCTTCTCACAAACCACATGACAATAGATCTTGATATGTTTAGTACGCTTATAAAATACATGATTATGAGCTAAGTAAATAGTAGAGTGATTGTCACAACAGACTGCAATAGGACCCAATGAAACATGAAAATCACAAAAAAGATAATGTAACCATTGAATCTCAGAAGTGAGATTGGCTAATGCTCGATATTCTATTTCGGAGGATGAATGAGAAATAGTAGATTGCTTCTTAGATTTCCAGGAAATCAAGGAAGAATCAAGGAAAATATAAAATTTGTTGATCGAGAGGCGAGTGTCCAAACAATAGGCTCAATCCAAATTAGCAAAAGCAGAAAGACGAATGTCAGTAGAGGCAGAGAAAAATAACCTTTGGGTAGGTGAACATTTTAAGTATCTAAGAACCTGGATGACAGCTTTATAATGAATATCAAGAGATTGATCAATGAATTGACTAAGCCATTGGACATAAAAGACAATGTTAAGGCTCGTAAGTGTAAGATATAACATGTTATTGATTTGCAATAAGCAGCAGTATTAGAATACGGTTGTCCATGATTAACAGGTTTGAAACCAAGTAAACTACTATCATCAAGAAGTTCAAGAGTGTATTTACATTGATTTATGTGAATGCCGGATTTGGACCATGCAATTTCTAATCCCCAAAAATAATGAAGAGCACCAAGATATTTAATCTTGAATTTAGTATTCATGACACATTTGACAAAATTAATTTCGTCCATATCATCACCAGCTAAGACAATGTTATCCACGTAAACTAATAAAGTTGTGAAAGAAATGGAAGTAACCTTGACAAACAAAGATTGAATTGTTTGTATAAATCTTCTTGTAATTTTGCAATACAAAAAATATCTCCCTAATGAAAGCTATGGTACAAATCTTGTCAAACATTAGAAACATGTTCGATCCAGAGAACGGAGTTAAGAATGATTTCATGCACTGATCGTTGGATTTAAGAAATAATCATTGTGTTGCAACGATCTCAAGGTTCGTAAAGAGGGTTGGTTGATGGTGGTTCAAAGAGAGTGTCATCCACGAATTTCAGCTTATTCTTGGATTTGAGCACAAGTTTAATGGTGTGGGTCCAAGCGTGATAATTCTTGTCATTCAACAAGGTTGAAACAAGAATGAGAGTAGGGTTTTCATTAGAAGGAAGAAAAAAGGGATTTGAGGGATTAGTGTGAAAGTCAGCATAAGGTTCGGACACCATAGGAATGGAGGAAAAAAATCAAGAAATAACATCTGATATTATCTTACTGTTCATATACTTATGATGAAATTCATCTATTTTTATTAAGAATTTTTCACCCTAAAGAGGAGTACAAGCAAGGTATATATATAATCCCGTAGAACAAAGGAAACAATTATCATAACTAAAAATAATACAAAAGTAGAAAATATGATTTATTATAGAAAAACAATTATTCTAATATGATGTTCAAGTATTAGTTGTAAGTGTAATCATATGTTTATTTTCAAATAACATATATTTTAACTTTATCTTTTCATCATTATATATAAGCATGCAATATCTAGCAATGATCATACGAGAGAGAATTTTAAAACAGGATTAACCTTTTTGCATAAACTCGCTTAAACTTTTCATTTATAGCAAATCTAAAAGGAAATTTATCATCTTAACAAGTACAAAAAATGTTTCTCTTAGTTGAATTCAACAAATTTCAAATTCATAACATTAATATCACTCACATCATTTTCTAATACCTAATGTCTTTTGTTTATTATCAACCTCTTGTTAAGGTTCATAAAACAATCATTTGAATGTTTAATTAATATAATGGTTCCATATTTTTTACTATTACCCTTATATGACTTGTCAACTTGCAAATTGTATAGATGATTTTATTGTAATGAATCCAAACCTTTGAGGGACCCTTGACAAGTTTTCACTTGAGTCATTGGCATGGTCTAGATTACTCTGGTAGGAATCTTTTGTTGTGATTGATCTTCAAATGAAGTTGATTCAGTAAGACCTTCGGAGGATGTTACTAGTGGCGTAGGACAGCCGTTCATACTTCTAATTCTTGTTATACACACAATTCAACTTTTATTTTTCCATTCCTATGGATAATGAAGAACAATTAAATTGTATCAAAATATTCAATAATAAAATTTATTAAATATGAAAACAATAATGGGAGATTTAAATCTTGAGGAACCAAACTCCTACTAGACCCTAAACAAATTAATAATTGGTAAGGATCAAGAGTTTTTAATATTGTTTACTTTTGTCTTATAAAGAACTAGACTCAATTTAAATACAAACCAAAAAATTAATTATTGTCATAGTCTAACCATCTAAATGTAACAATTTAAAAAAAAAAAAAAAAAGGATAACTTGAAACAAGGTAGCATGCATGATTATGTTGAGCAGAGGTGAACAATATTGGAGTAGAGATGAGACAATGCGGAGATGGAAGGTAGTGGAGATTAATGGTGTTAGAGCATAGATGAGATAAGGTGAAGATGGAAGGTAGTGCGGAGAACAATGTTGGAGCATGGACGAGACAAGGTGGAGACAGAAGCAATGGCGAAGGTGAAAGGTGTTGAAGCATATGAGACAAGGTGAAGATGAAAGACAACAAAAGTGAATGGTGATGGAGCAGAAATGAGATAAGGTGGAGATGGAAGGCAGCGGAGGTGAACAATGTTGGATTGGAACAGAGATGTGACAAGGTGGAGACAGAAAGTAGCAGAGGTGAACAATGTTAGGGTTACATTTAGGTGTTTTTGTTACACATTCATAATACCAGAATATAAGATGAAAATTAGATAACATTATGTATCATAAGTCATTCGGGATTAGATCTGGGTCCCTCGTACCTAACTCGTCACCAAACCCATACATGAATGAATAAGTTTAGGTTGGGTTGGGTTGAATTTGACCGATGATATATGAAATAATTATTTTTAAAAATTAAATCGAAACTATCGTTTTAAAAATTAAATCGAAATCTTAAATCCTAAAAATTAAATTGAATCCATCGTTTTAAAAAATTTTAATTCAAAAATCTAAAATATTTTGATTTTTTTTCAATTTTTCTAAATAGATTTTCTTTTTTATTGATTCAGTTCTTAATCATCCATATAGTAATATCTTATAGATTACGCGTTTCGCAGGGGTGATTCGAAGATTATCCAGTTTTAGAATCCAAGACAAAGAGATTAGATAGTAGAGGAAGAAAACCTTATTCTTCATTTTCACCCAAATTACTATTAAAAACACCCATATATAACTATCCAAGGGCCCACTTTCTCAATTAATTTATATTTTTCTTCTCGCATTATATACTTATAATTTACTCACAACAAATTATCACTGTCACAGCTGTCACAAATATATATATAATTATTATTTATCTTGAGCAAATTTGTTGGGACTTTAAAACAAGGAACTCCAAAATTTCTGTATGCATGGTTTAAGAGTTAATTATCTCAAGTAATTTTGTTGAACTTATATAAATTATTGTTCAATTCTTACACATTTCTAAAGAAATTATTGATAATTTCTTTTATGAAGTATTTTATAATGTTTTAAGAATATTAATTTTTTTATTAATTTTTATAAGTGTATTTTCTATCAATAAATAATGAGATGTTATTTTAAAAATTGTTAATAATTAAGATAAAACTGGCAAATTGGTGATATTATTTTAAAAAATCAACGATATGATGATTTTGTTCAAAGTGTTTTATGTTATAAGAAATAAAAAATATTAGAGTTGAAATGGAAATGTTTAGTAAAATTATATAAGCAAGTTGATAAACATAAGTTAATATATTTAATTGTCTGAGAAAAAAAGTCAAATAAATTAGTAAGATTATAAAAGTACAAAAAAAAATCTAGTAGCTTACTAACTAGTTTATTTTCATAAAAAAAACAGTAATAATTTATAAAAATATTTTAAAAATTACTAAATAAACTTGTATATCAAACAAGTGAAATTTGATCAAACTAGTCTATAAACTAGTCAAAATATAACTTTTAAGATATTAAAAAACTTTTTCAAATAGCTTTTAATTAGTAAATAAAGGAAGCTTATTTTTCAACATAACACCGATATATTCATAATAATTTTTTCTTTATATATTTTACAACTCTTATGTAATAATAATAATAATAATAAACAAAAAATATATAATCTTATTATTATACTAATAAAAATTTATAGTTGTGATATTGACAAATTTGTAAATATATCCAAGGAACTAAATTGAGAAATATAAGAGGTTTTCAAAAAGAATAATGTTTAAAATATTGAAGTTATTAAAGATTAAATATGGCGACTAAAAGAGTTAGAGTAAGAAGTTTTATTTAAGTAATAAATGAGAATATGTACGTCAAAGGTAGAGTGTTTATGGTAAAAAAATGTTCTAAATTGCGTATTATTGAAAAGAGAAAATGGTTTGAAAAAGAAGTCAATTAAAAATATCGTGTGATCAATTGAGTGTTAGAATCGAATAATTGGGAATGTCAAGTCCAGAGTTGTTAATCAAGAGAAATAAGGCATCGAGGGAGAGTGATGTAAAATAAAATAAGGTGCAAAATTTTAAGCATAAGCAAACCCAAGAAAAACTTTTACTAGACATTAAGATAATTGTCTATCTAGATGTGAATGTTCATTTCTAAAAATTATGGAGGAAGGAGGAGATGGAATGAAACTAGAAAATAATAAAGATAAGGGCTAAAAAAATGGATCAACCCATTGAATAATAAATGGAGTGAATAAATAAAGAAGAAAAGATGAAGAGAAGAGAAGTATGGTAGTGGAGTATTGACACGCCACTAGAGGATGAATCATCCAGATGGCAAATCTTAACCATTGATTTTTGGGGGCAAATAATATATTATTAATAAATAATAAAAAAATATGAAAGGGTGAAAGAAAAAAAGGGTGAAATGATACAATTGTAATATATAAACAAATATATTAAATGATACTTAAGTTTGAGGGGACGAAACCATAAATTATATGAGAGTTAGGAGTGATGAGATAATAAAATTATAAATATACAAGTAAATATATTATATCATTAAGTTTTGGGGGCCAAAATTATAAATTACATGGGAGTTACAAAACTTTGGGGGTCACGGCCCCACCTCAACTCCCAAGAAAATCCGCCACTGAGTCACCCTAGATAAGTGGTAGTTGCCGCCACTTGAACCAAGGTTCAAGATAAGATACTCAAAGAGATAAAATACTCAAAAAAATCTTATAAACTTGTCATAAATATTCAACTTAATTACATGAGGGGAAACCTTCTATTTATATGTTTTTGAGGAAGGGACCTAGATGAAATTACAAAAGGAGACATAAACTTAACCTAAATCTAAATGTTAGAGTCCTCATGGTCCAAATATGTTAAATTCGTCCTAACTCATCAAAAATGCCTATGAGGGTGTGGAGAACATAAAAAAAAATATGTGCTTCCTTTTGGGTTATCCCAAGCCTACCAATCCCACATCCCAAACTTTTTCCTTTCTAAAAAGGGGTGTAGGACATGAAAAAGAAGTGTCCTACACCTTTGTGTAGCCCATACAACCATCTTATATGTCCAAGCCTTCTTTTCTACCAAATATAGGTGGTGATCTTAAAAAAGGAGGTGTATAAAGTGATCCTACAAAATGAATGCGAAAATGAGGCTCTAAAATTTAAGAAAAAAATGCTAAGAAAATTCAAAGTGGAGATTGAGTAAGAGACCTCCTTTTTAGTCATGCTCCTAGTAATCTTCTAAGGAATGACTTTTCCAGTGTCCAGGACAACTAAGGACTCATCAAAAAATTATGTAATAGAGAGGTATGCATAAACGATTATAGTCTCATTACATGACAGATGTGTTTACGAATATTATCTGACAACAAAATGACTTAAAAAAATGAAGAAGAAAGAAGAACTATTATTGAAAATAATTGTTTGTGAATTTTATTTTCCATTTTGTATTTTATTTAACTCTACTTTAAAATTTTATCTTCATTTTTATTATTTTAAAGTAGTTACATGACAAAAAAAATACTTTATCAATTTATATTTTATCCATTTAGATTTATTTTTATGTAATTTATTTTCTTTGAATATTTATTTTTCATATTTATTTTCTAGTAATTTATTTTTATATCTTTTTAATTCTTCCAATTTACTTAGTATTACAAATTGTATTGAAAATCTAAACTAGAGGCCAGTGATCATTAATTGAAATATATCTTATTTGCTTAAATTATTTACCGCATACTTAAATATAAATTATTTTAATCTAATAGCGAATTATTTACATAATAAATAAATTGATTACTGTTTTTAAAGAGAATTGATAACATTTATATTTGAAGTTTTGAAAAATGAAAAAGGAACGATTTTCCTTTTCATTGTTAGACATCATTTGAATATACAATGAGGTCATTGGGCAGGATGCAGCACTTTTCCCTGAGTAGATAGCAGAAACCGAAGAACAAAAAAGATACCCCAATAAAGACCAAACGGTTTTTCTTCACAGTCCTCATGGCACGATATGCGTGAATTCAGTAAACACACATGGACTTGATGTGATGGACACAAAAACTCTCACATGCATCCTAAATAAACACTAACCAGCTCCTACGGATATTGTATGTGTGTATGACGTCACTTCTCTCTCTCTTGCTCTTATAAAATCCAATGTTATATGCATGCACAAAATCATCGTTTACCTCAAAATACAAACTAACTATTCTCATTTGATTTACCATTGCACGTATGAAAGAGTGTAAATGTTTTATGTAAACCCAAAATACTTACCTCAAAATGCGAACTAACTATTCTCGTTTGTTTTAGCATTGCACGTGTAAAAGAGTGTAAATGTGTTATATATGTGTTAATATTTTTATTTTTATATAATTTTTTAAAATTTTAATCAGATTAAAATTGACAAATTAGTCTGATCAAGTTAAACTAATAATTGTGGATGCACTGATTATTAAATGATTTTATAATAATATTCACTACTTCAAATAAAAGGAAAAATTAATAAAACAATTATTTCGTCAATAAACTTTGCCTTATCCAAAAAAAATATTAGTTAAACAATATTTTCGGAAAAATGGTGCAAGACCTCAAATCAAGTTTGAAGGATAACATTATGTATGTAGATAAGGTTCACAATATGGTATATATGTATTCTTCTGTATCTTCCTGTAAGAAAGTACATCCATAATAGAAGAATGCCCAGAACACGGAAACACAGCTATGGTACTTTCTAGTCAACTTTTTTGTTCTCACTTCTCAGTCAACTTTTATCAGTATCATAATTGAATTCAAATCCAAAGTTATTATTATTATTAATAATAAAAGTTTTCTTTCTGTAATATCAAAACTCGGGTCTTGCAAAATCTTCACTTTTCACGACTACAAAACCAGGAGGTGAAGTTTGTAATATTGATGAATATTTTACAGGAGACTAATTAAGTAGGTAATATACATGATCTATATCTATATATCATCGTCATTACGGAATACATATATTAAATCATTCCATTTAAAACTATAAACATTGATAACCAGTTTGAGAATTAAGTGCATATCCTAATCTCATGAACATAAATAATTTGGCAATGAAGTATTAATTGAGATGCACATTGGGGAAGGGAAATAGTTAAAGCCAGAGGGCTCCAGCTTGCTTGAGGAGTGGAATGAGTGTGCCGTTGATGTGGGTGGCCATGAGGGTCTGGATGCCGCCGAGGAACTTTCCACCCACGAAGACGGCGGGGAGAGGCTGGTTCACTCCGGCGAGCTGGAAGAGCAGGGCGCGGATGGCGGGGCCGGCGGCGTGGTGGTCGAGCTCCACCACCGTGGGGCCGACCCCGAGGCTGAAGAGCAGGCGTTTGGCCACCGTGGACATGCAGCAATCGGTGGAGCTGAACACCACGACGGCGTTGCACGACGTGAGGCGCAGCACCACTTCGTACGGGCCCATCGGTGCCTCCATTTCTTCCATCCTCATTCGTAGTTAATAGGTATACTATATATATATACTTGCTCTGGTAATGGATTGGAGAGTGAGAGTGTGAGTGAGAAGAGAAATGAATGAAGAGGACATGTGTGAGAGTAGTTTATATAATGTAGTATTCAACAAACTAAGTATGGAGCAGGTTGCTGCTCCTTAGCAAACGATCTTTTGCAGTGATTATCTGATTTTGTATGGGAGTGTACGGACCTTTTCAGTATCACCTCTCGTTCGTCTCTTATTTACGATAATCTCCCTCTCTTAACCCTGTCAATACCCAACACCTCTTTATTACACGGGAAAACTCAATAACCATGTTAATTAAATTTAGCACTCAAAGGAAAAACATTGCGGAGACATTCTGCCTCATTGCAAAGAATCCAGAATGCTAGACTAAAGTGCAAATTGGAAACTATATTTTCAAACACTTTTTGCATTTTGTGTATTTTGACTGAAATTTATATTAAAATTATGAAGTTAAAAGATAAAGTTTTTAAATGTAAAATTTAAATAATAACTTTTTATAAATAAAATAAAGAAAGTAAGTGTTATTTTATTAAAAACATAAAAAAATATGTATTTTTTGTATTAAAACCATACAAATTAAGTCTTGTTTTTTTTTTTAAATACACAGAAATTAAATGTTTATTCTACATGAAAGTGACGCTAATTTAAGCTTAACTTAATAGTCATTAAATTCATGAAATTTAAATTTCTTCACCATAAACTTTAAAGATAATATTGAATGACTAAATTCATATACATTAATATAAAAAAAATACTTAATTAAGTTACATAAAACAAATGTGTTCTTTAGCAATGATTAAAATAATAATATATGAAAATAAAATAAAATAAAATATTTTAATTATAATAAATTTAAGTACTTGTGATACTTATATTTAAAATTAATGTTAATTTTATTAACATAATTTAAATTAAAAAATGCTTCATTTTTTTACTTTACTAAAACGGATTATGTTTCCCATTTGGGACTAAATGAAGTCTATAAAATACCACTCATCTAATATTCGGATTAAATAAGTTTGATATAAAATTTTTATGTCTTTATAAATAAAGATGATAATTAAATTTATACGTGTGAAAATAATTTGTTTGTTCGAAATTTGACGGTTGATTGAAAACAAGATGAGTTCGGAGAAGCAAAAAAATTAATTTTATTTTCTTTATCTTTTTTAAATATTATACATCAATATTATTTTATTTACAATTTATCTTTATTAAATTTTATTATATTATTTTTTTATTTGTCATATATTAATTTTTTATCATAATAAAATAATTATATTTTGAATGATTAAATAAAATTCATAATTAAAATTTTTATTGTTTTAAATTAATTAAATAAGAATTAATTTATTGAATATTTTGTTATAAATTATATATTTCATATTTTAAATATTTTAAAATAACAACTTAAAAAATAATTAAAAATATAATTCAAATACAATGTAATAATAATAATAATAATAATAATAATAATATTATTATTATTATTATTATAAGTATTTTATATTTATATAAAGAAAAATTTATTAAATATATTTTATATATATATATATATAATATAAATATAATAAATTAAAATATGCACTTAATTAATAATAATAATTATTAAAAATTATAAATATTTATTTGTATATAAAAATATGTATCAAAATATTAAAATTAATTTATTATAAATATATTGATTTTTTAAATAATGTAAAACAAGAATGTATAAGGAAACAAATTCAAAATCCTACAAAAACTAAAATAAAAATTTAATTTTTAATCGATGGTTAAAAAAGTTTGAAAGAGGATCAAAGACTTAATTCCGTTGCCATGCTACTCATGTGATACATTCCTTCATTTATTATTTTAAAATGTAGAAGATAGTAAGAAATCGGATAGCATTAATATATCGAGAAGAGTACGCAGGATGTTAACGGGGGTTATCAGTTGGAGTGTTAACTTAAGAAGTGAATATAAAGTAGTATATACCCTAAACAAAACTAGCAGAGGAAGGAAGGCTAGTGTTGGTGTTTGATGTGCCTCGATGACAGAGAGACGACGGCGTTTCCAGGATTTGATGTCGGAGTGTCGGGTTGAATAAGAATGAAGAATATACGACAGTAACCGTACGTGAGGAGGGTCACGCGTATTTTTGTTTTGGAGAAGGAAGGCATCGAATCACAATTCAGATTTCACTCATTTTATTTCAGAGCAGACTGTGTCTGTCACACAATGTCACCTGCTGCTGTTGGCTGAGGTGAGTATATTTGGCGAAGCAAAAGCTGGCACCCTTGCATGCTAGTCCTATGCTATCATATCCCAATAATGCCTACAGAAATTCCTTTATCTTACGCCTTTTGTAGTCTAGTATAATGTTACGTGTCAATGTGCCACTCTTACAAACATAATTTTAGAGTTATGTGCAAGAAAGATTTTTTACAACTGCAAGTAAAGAATTCTCTTTTTATCCATTCTCAGTTTTATGTTTCTTGCTTTTCAATAATTATCATGATAATTGTCCAAGGATATTTGATTATAATTTTTTTTTCGGTTTCGGTTCATTATTAATGGTTAGTAGTTTTCTTTTTTACTTTTTTCTTTTATTATTTTGTGATCTTGTTAGATAGTTTTATATAAATTTTTTATTTTATTTTTATAATAATAATTAAATTTTTCTCTATTTAATATAACTAGAATTCTCTTAAAATCTAAATATAAAATGATATTGAAATTCTTATAGTTTTATTTTTTTCTTATTATAAATACAATGAATAAGAGTTAAACAAGTTTTAACATGAATCCTTCAAATTCTTACTTCCTACCTTCCCATGAAAAGCTAGTCTTAGTTTTCTTTTAGTCTTAATTTTCTTTTTTCCACTATTAAATGATAAGAACTATCATGTTTAAGTTCTTGTTATGAAGCTTATTCTGACGTCCACACCATCTCCTTGCACCACTACAAGAAAATCGCGTATTATCGATGGATATTTACCGACGAATTTGTAATCGTCGGAAAATAATTATTACCGATGGAATTTACCGACGGATATAAAATATTTGTGGAATTTGATCTTACCGACGGATATATCCGTCGGTAAAATAATAATTAGTTACTGACGGATATATCCGTCGATAAATCCATCGGTAATTTACAGATGAATTTACCGACGAATATATCCGTCATAGAATCTGTCGATAAATTAACAATTAATTATCGACGGATATATCCGTCGGTAAATTCATCTGTAAATTATCCGTCAGTAACTTAACAATTAGTAAATATTCACCTAATTAAAAAATTAAATATTTTTTATTTAATAATTTAATTTAATCATAATTAGATTAATTTATAATAATTTATTAAATTAAATAATTTTAAAAAATAAATATTTAATTATATATAAAAATATTTAATTATATATAAAAATATAAAAATATAAAAATATAAATATGTAAAAATATAAATATGTAAAAATATAAATATGTAAATATATAAATATGTAAATATATAAATATATAAATATATAAATATATAAATATATAAATATATAAATATATAAATATATAAATATATAAATATATAAATATATAAATATATAAATATATAAATATATAAATATATAAATATATAAATATATAAATATATAAATATTTAAATATTTAAATATATAAATATCTAAATATATTTGTATATAAATATAATTTATTTGTAAATTATTATCAAAAAATTCGATAGCTTAGTGGTTAGAGTATCGCCTCTAACTCTAAGGTACTGAGTTCGAATCCTGTCAATTACAATTTTCTTAATCCCCTTATAAAAATGTAATTAGCATTTAGAAATGTCTAAACTTGAACTTGACTGGAAGCTTCTAAAAGACTCAAGAACTACGTAGATATTTGTAGTAGGGACATGAACATCCTAGAACCTTGTAGAAACTTATAGATAGAACAAGAATCATCTTGAGTAGTGTAGAAGGTTCTAGGACATGTAGGACTTTTGTGGAAGGGTTTAGAAAATTCAAAACCCTTGTAGGATCTAGAGAGTTCCTTAGAGAAGATGGTGCCTATAAATAGAGGAGGCCCCCTCATTTGCAAACCATCCAAGCCTTGAGAGCTCACTTGTACTAGAGTTTGAGTAATAGAAGCATTTTCCCTTCAAGTTCTCTTTTCTCTTTTTCTCTAGCCAAAACAGTTGCACACACCGAGCATGATCCCAAACAAGGTGAGACTGACTTAGTTAGTTGCGAAGGGCGTACAAGAGGCCAAGGCCGCACGTAACCAAGTTCAAGAAATAAGGGCGTGACAAGTGGTATCAGAGCAACGCTCGGTACCATGTAAGTATGGCAGGGGAGAAGGAACATGATGTGTCTAGGTCAGGTGTAAGCGAAGAGCATACAAGGGTGATAATCGAGTCAAATAAGTTCGACTATGAATAGTACATGTAGAGATGGAAAACATGAGAATGAAGGAGTCGAAAGGATTTTATACATCACACTATTGAAACCGTGGTGAATCAACTTAATCAAAATGGAAAGACACTTTTTTGAATTTCATATTGAAGAAAAGATCTTGAGGTCGTTAACCGATGACTTTGAGAATGTAGTGTACGCGTTAGTGGAATCAAAGGACTCATTCGAGTTCACGGTACAAGAGTTGGTTGGTTCTCTTAAAGTCCATGCGAACCATAAGAAGAGAAAGAAGGAGAAAGCAACAATTCAAGTGCTCTAGAGTGAGATAGATGTAAAAGAAGAAAAAGGTTTCTATTATCAAAACAATCAAGATAGAGGACAAAGATGTAATGGTCGAGGCCGAGGTGGTAGAGGTCGTGGGGAAAAAGAAGGAAATTAGTAAAACTAGCATGATAAAGGATGTGTTTGGAAAGGAGGTCAGTCACCAACTTATAATGTTGAGTGTTTTAAGTATAACAAAAATAACTACTATGCAAATGATTTTTACATAGAAAAATGTTAAAATTGTGGTAAGGTAGG